GATTTTGCCATATACCAAACACTGTGGGATTTTTTAAACCAAAAAGCAATAATATGAAATGGAATGAAACTAGCGATAAAATAATAATAGAATGTTGGGATAAAAAGCAACAATAATAAGATGGAATAAAACTAGTAATAAAATAATAATAAAATGTTGGGATAAAAAGCAACAATAATAAGATGGAATGAAACTAGTAATAAAATAATAATAGAATGTTGGGATAAAAAGCAACAATAATAAGATGGAATAAAACTAGTAATAAAATAATAATAGAATGTTGGGATAAAAAGCAACAGTAATAAGATGGAATGAAACTAGTAATAAAATAATAATAGAATGTTGGGATAAAAAGCAACAATAATAAGATGGAATAAAACTAATAAAATAAAATAATAATAAAATGTTGGGATAAAAAAGTAATAAAACAATAATAAGATGGAATAAAAAACTAGTAATAAAATAATAATAGAATGTTAATAATAAAAAAATAAACAATAATAAGATGGAATAAAACTAGTAATAAAATAATAATAAAATGTTGGGATAAAAAGCAACAGTAATAAGATGGAATAAAACTAGTAATAAAATAATAATAGAATGTTGGGATAAAAAAGCAACAATAATAAGATGGAATAAAACTAGTAATAAAATAATAATAGAATGTTGGGATAAAAAGCAACAATAATAAAGATAAAAATAAGACTAGTAATAGAATAATAAAAAAAAAATTGGGATAAAAAAGCAACAGTAATAATATGGAATAAAACTATTAATAAAATAAAATAATAGAATGTTGGGATAAAAAGCAACAGTAACAAGATGGAATAAAACTAGTAATAAAATAATAATAGAATGTTGGGATAAAAAGAATAAAACAATAATAAGATGGAATAAAACTAGTAATAAAATAATAATAGAATGTGGAGATAAAAAGAATAAAACTAGTAATAAAATAATAAGATGGAAAAAAACAATAATAAGATAATAAAAATAATAATAGAATGTTGGGATAAAAAAGTAATAAATTAATAATAACATGGAAAAAAACAATAATAAGATAATAAAAATAATAATAAAATGTTGGGATAAAAAGCAACAGTAATAAGATGGAATAAAACTAGTAATAAATTAATAATAGAATGTTGGGATAAAAAGCAACAATAATAAGATGGAATAAAATGGTAGTAATAAAATAATAATAGAATGTTGAGCAACAATAAAAATGGAATAAAACTAGTAATAAAATAATAAGATGGAATAAAACTAGTAATAAAATAATAATAGAATGTTGGGATAAAAAAGCAACAATAATAAGATGGAATAAAACTAGTAATAAAATAATAATAGAATGTTGGGATAAAAGCAACAATAATAAGATGGAATAAAACAGTAATAAAGAATGTTAATAAAAAACAATAATAAGATGGAATAAAATTAATAAAATAATAATAGAATGTTGGGATAAAAAGCAACAGTAACAAGATGGAATAAAACTAGTAATAAAATAATAATAGAATGTTGGGATAAAAAGCAACAGTAATAAGATGGAATAAAACTAGTAATAAAATAATAATAGAATGTTGAGATAAAAAGCAACAATAATAAGATGGAATAAAACTAGTAATAAAATAATAATAGAATGTTGGGATAAAAAGCAACAATAATAAGATGGAATAAGACTAGTAATAAAATAATAATAAAATGTTCGGATAAAAAGCAACAGTAATAAGATGGAATAAAACTATTAATAAAATAATAATAGAATGTTGGGATAAAAAGCAACAGTAACAAGATGGAATAAAACTAGTAATAAAATAATAATAGAATGTTGGGATAAAAAGCAACAGTAATAAGATGGAATAAAACTAGTAATAAAATAATATTAAAATGTTGGGATAAAAAGCAACAATAATAAGATGGAATAAAACTAGTAATAAAATAATAATAGAATGTTGGGATAACGCTTTTACCTCCCAGATAAGTTCCTGGAATAAACTTAGAGCTTTAAACTTAACCTTCATTGCTGATTTAGCTGCCACTGTCACTGCCACTGCTGCTGCTGGTTATCTTGTTTTGACGGCTGCTGCTGCTGCTGGTGGTTATCATATTTTCACAGCTGCTGCCACTACTGCTGCTGGTTATTATGTTTTGACGGCTGCCGCTGCTAATGCTGCTGGTTATCTTGTTTTGACGGCTGATTCTGCTACTGCTGCTTGTTATCATGTTTTGACGGCTGTTGCCGCTACTGCCGTTCGTTATCATGTTTTCACAGCTGCTGTCGCTACTGCTACTGGTTATCATGTTTTCACGGCTGCTGCCACTACTGCTGCTGGTTATTATGTTTTCACGGCTGCCGCAGCTACTGTTGCTGGTTTCCATGTTTTGACGGCTGCTGCTGCTACTGCTGCTGCTTGTTATCATGTGTTGACGACTGCTGTCGCTACTGCTGCTGGTTATCATATTTTCGCGGCTGCTGCTGCTACTGCTGCTAATTACCATGTTTTGATGGCTGCTGCTGCTACTGCTGCTTGTTATCATGTTTTGACGGCTGCTGCCGCTACTGCTCCTGCCGCTACTGCTGCTGGTTATCATATTTTCGCGGCTGCTGCTGCTACTGCTGCTGGTTACAAAGTTTCGATGGCTGCTGCTACTTGTTATCATGTTTTGACGGCTGCTGCCGCTACTGCTGCTGGTTATAATATTTTCTCGGCTGCTGTTGCTACTGCTGCTGGTTATCATGTTTTGACAGCTGCTGCCGCTACTGCTTCTGGTTATCATGTTTTGACAGCTACTACTGCTACTGCTGCTGGTTGTCAAGTTTTGACGGCTGCCGCAGCTAATGCTGCTGGTTATCTTGTTTTGACGGTTGCTGTCGCTATTGCTGCTGCTTATCATGTTTTGACGGTTGCTGCTGCTACTGCTGCTGGTTATCTTGTTTTGACGGCTGCTGCTGTTACTGCTGCTTGTTATCATGTTTTGACGAATGCTGCTGCTACTGCTACTGGTTATCATGATTTGACAGCTGCTGCCGCTACTGCTGCTGGTTATAATGTTTTGAAGGCTGCTGCTGCCTATATTTTCGATTAATGCCGTTGCTGCTGCGATTGAAACGATTTATTAGCTGAACCCATATTGTATTTATTTCTGTGCTAGGCCTACTAAGGGGCATCTCATAGACTCTGGTGTTCTTCTTTGACCAATATTTTCACTTCTCACTGCAGATTTTCTATGTTACTCCAACCTTACATTTAAAGGTTGGCTTGTTTCTCCTTTATATTCGCTGCCACAACTGCAAGGAATTGAGTATACGCAGTTCATGGTTATATTCTCCCCCGTGTTAGGCTTTACTTGGCAGAGATTTCTCTGTAGAGTGGAACTGCTTCTGAATATTGTCCTGATACTGCATGGACTGCAGATATTCTGAAACTTTTCTAATAAGCCCTTGAAGTAAGGCAGACAGGCCATGGCAATTTTCTGGTCAACCTCCTTGAGCCTTCTGTTCTCACCTGTTGACGCTGATGTCATGTTTGCTGGAGTAAAGCTTAGAACTTTATATATAAATTTCACTGCTGATTAGGCTGACACTGTTGCTTCTACTGGTTGTTATGTTCTGATTGCTGTTGTCCATATTTTGGATTACTGCTGCTGCTCTTGAAAACTTGTTCTCATTTGTCTTTCTTTCTTTGCTAACGACTCTCATATTGTATTTATTTCTATGCTAGACCTACTAAGCAGGTCCCCATAGCCTAGCTTATGCGCTGATTCTTTCAGACATCTAAGACGACTCCGGCGTTCTTTCTTGTCCATACTTGATTCCACAGTGGCTGATAATTATCCTTTTCCATCTATACATGATCAGCCATGCCTGGTTTCACTCTTTCACCTCCCAGTATGGCTATTCGATGTATCTTAATTTTCAGGGAGTGGCTTGTTTCTCTTTTATATTCACTGCCACAACTGCAAGGACTCAAGTACACGCAATTCTTGGTCATATTCTTCCTCGTGTTAGGCTTTACGTGGTAGAGATTTCTCTGTAGAGTTTAACTGCTTCTGAATATTGTCCTGGTGTTGTATGGACTACAGATCTGAATCTTTTTCACTAAACCCTTGGCCTAAGGTAGACAGACCGTGGCAATCTTCTGGTTATCTTCCCTCTTCCTTCTGTTACCACCCGTAGACGCCGATGTCACTTTTGCTGGGTAGTTGCTATTCTGAAAGGTATGTTTGATGCTGATCTGGGTCGCTACTTTTGATTTTAATCCGGAGTTGTAGGCATCGAATGATCCCTTTATTCACACTGCATTGATTGCTGCTGCTGTGGTTGAAGTCTTGCTGTCATTTGTCTATCTTTCTTTATTAGTGGCTCCCCTATTATATTCATTTCTACGCTAGGCCTACTAATGAGGTCCACATAGCGTAGAATATGTGCAGATTCTTTCAGATGTCTAACTCTAGAATGTTCTTCCCTGTCCAGTACTTTCACTTCATCACAGAGGGGCTGATGAGCACCCATTTCCTTCCTTCAACCGTAGCTGCAGCGGAAGTAATAAAAAAAAAACAAGTGCATCATGCAGCAACAGGAGAAATAATTTTTCACCCAAGTCTGGAAGAAGTTAAGAGCGTAATGATCAACGAAGTGTTATTCCACAATTTGGGGATTCTTGAGAAAAAAAATTGGATGGAATACGGGAGAAATGAGAATGATCCAACCCTGTGTATGTGGCCTGACAGGCTCTACCAGTAAATGCCTGAACTGGTGGAACAAATGAAAGTGTAGTGAACATTTGCCATGAAAATATTGATATGTTAGTGAGAGTCTAACAATACTCCATCCAGGAGAAAGAGATATCCTCAATTTTTGTTCTTCTAAGTGCCGGGTTCCTTCAGGTCTTTAACGATCATGGCTCTCCACAATTTCCTGTCGTTTATAGCTCTAAATAAATTTTGTCTTTTTGTTATCTCTCCTAAACTTTGTTCCCCATCTATTTGCTTAAACTATGTTATGCATTTTTTTCTTCTTCTTCCTCTTCTCTTTTTGTTCTTGTTTTTCTTCCTCCTCTACTTCCTCCCCCATTTTTTCCTTTTCATTTTCTTCTTCCTTCTTTCCTACACTTTCTCCTCTTCTTACTTCTCTTCTTCTTCTTTTTCCTCTTTTTCATCTTCCTCCTCTTTCCCCTTATTCTTATTCCTCTTTTTCTTTTTCTTCTTCTCCTTCTTCTTACTCCTCCTCCTCCTCCTCTTCTACTTCCACTACTTTTTATTCTTCTTCATCATCTTCTTCATTCTCTTGTTCTCCTTCTTCTTCTCCTTCCTCCTGTTCCTTTTCCTCCTTTACTTCCTCCTCCACTTTTTCCTTTTCTTTTTCTTCTTCCTCCTCTTCCTACACTTCCTCCTCTTCTTGCCCCTCTTCTTCTTTTTCCTCTTTTTCATCTTCCTCCTCTTTTCCCCTGTTTTTCTTTTTCTTCTTCTTCACCTTCTTCTTAATCCTCCTACTCCTCTTCTACTTCCACTTCTTTTTCTTCTTCTTCTCCTTCTTCTTAATCCTCCTCCTCCTCTTCTACTTCCACTTCTTTTTATTCTTCTTCTCCTTCTTCTTAATCCTCCTCCTCCTCTTCTTCTACTTCCTTTTTTTATTCTTCTTCTTTTTATTCTTCTTCTCCTTCTTCTTAATCCTTCCTCCTCTTAATCCTCTCCTCTTACTTCCACTTCTTTTTATTCTTCTTCTCCTTCTTCTTAATCCTCCTACTCCTCTTCTACTTCCACTTCTTTTTCTTCTTCTTCTCCTTCTTCTTAATCCTCCTACTCCTCTTCTACTTCCACTTCTTTTTCTTCTTCTTCTCCTTCTTCTTAATCCTCCTACTCCTCTTCTACTTCCACTTCTTTTTATTCTTCTTCTCCTTCTTCTTAATCCTCCTACTCCTCTTCTACTTCCACTTCTTTTTCTTCTTCTTCTCCTTCTTCTTAATCCTCCTACTCCTCTTCTACTTCCACTTCTTTTTCTTCTTCTTCTCCTTCTTCTTAATCCTCCCTATTCTTCTACTTCTACTTCCACTTCTTTCCTTCTTCTTCCTTCTTTTCTCTTCCACTTCTTTTCCTTTTCCTCCTTCTTCTTCCTCCTCTCCTCTTCTTCCCTTCTTTTTTTCTTTTCTTTTCTTCTTCCTCCTCTTCTTTACTTCTTTTACTTCTTTTCTTCTTCTTCTCCCTCTTCTTCTCCTTTTCCTCTTTTCTTTTTTCCTTCTTCTTTCTTCTTAATCCTCCTTTCCCCTTCTTCTTATTATTCTTCTTTTCTTCTTCTTTCTCCTTGTTCCTCCTCCTCTTCTCCTCCTCTTCTCCTTCTTTTCTTTTTTTTCTTCTTTCTCTTGTTCTCCTTCTTCTTCTCCTTCCTCCTTTTCCTTTTTCATCTTCCTCCTCCTCCTTCTTCTTTTTTCTTTTTTTTTTTCTTCTTTCCTTCTTTTCCACTTCCTCCTCTTCTTGCTCCTCTTCTTCTTCTTTTCCTCTTTTTCCTCTTCTTCTCCTCCTCCTTTCCTTTTCTTCTTAGTATTCCTTTTTTCTTTTTTTTCTTCTTCCTCCTCCTCCTCCTCTTCTCCTCTTCTTCTTTTTATTCTTCTTCTTCTTTTCTTCCTGTATTCCTCTTTTCCTCCTCTTCTTCCTCCTCCTATTCTTCCTCCTTCCTTTTCCTTTTCTCCTCTTTCCTCTTCTTTTCCTTTTTCCTTTTCCTCCTCTTCTCTTCCTACACTTCCCCCTCTTCTTGCTCCTCTTCTTCTTCTTTTTCCTCTTTTTCATCTTCCTCCTCTTTTCACCTTCTTCTTAGTATTCCTCTTTTTCTTTTTCTTCTTCTTACTCCTCCTCCTCCTCCTCCTCCTCTTCTACTTCCACTTCTTTTTATTCTTCTTCGTCATCTTCTGCTTTCTCCTGTTCCTTTTTCTCCTCCTCTTCCTCCTCTACTTCCTCCTCCACTACTTCTTCCTCTTCTTTTTCTTCCTCTTTCTCCGCTTCCTCTTCTTCTTTCTCTTTTTTCTTCTTCTGCTTACCCCGCCTCTCCTCCTCTTCCTCCTCCTCCTCCTCCTTCTTTCTCTTCGACTTCTTCCTCCCCATTTTTTTTTGTTCTTCTTGTTCAATTTCTCGTTTGAGCGATCATGGTAATTGTATTTTTCTTTCCCCCCCCCCCACTCCTAATCCCTGTTCTGCCAACCATTTACACAAGGTCGTTAGGTAAGCTCTACTGTACTTTCCCCTGTCCCTCTTGCTTTCAATATGTCATATGTTTCGGACTGTTCCACATGCTTCTAACCAGTCTTTCTCTCCTCTTTCCTCCCCTCTAGCTTTCTTTTACTACTGTCTAGGAGGTCCTGCAGTTTTTCTAGCAGACGTATAATTATCCCACAGCCAATTCCTTCATCTGTGCCTTTGCATGATCAGCCTAATCTATGCTTATCTAATATGAAGTCATCAGCATTTAAATGTTTTCCGTGGAGAAATATCAAAAAATTAATTCGAAAAAACGAGCTCGAGAATTTTTATGCACTGCAAATAAAAAAAACGAAGCTAATCATATTCTAATTTACTTATCCCCAAGCAAATTAATGGCCGTCATTGAAGGAATTACTCCATGAAAATCAATAAACTGATGACTGTCCGTCAGTTGATAGACATCAACACCGCTATTATCTAAAGGAAGAATTGCGCGGGAGGGACGAGACATTGTGGAGGGATGGCGGGAAACGCTGATTACAGATTTGGGCATTGATCGTGAAAAGATAATGTCGATACGATGATGGACAAAATTACTTAAAGAAGTGGAATGAATCTCAAAGATGGATGCAGATATTTAAGACGATGAAGGCATAAACGACAATAAAGATTGAATTCTCAGGTCGTCCCATAAGTTAAGTCCGAATTCAGGGCCAGAAAAATATGAAAAATCATTTCTATTTAGAAATTCAATTTCTATTGAAATTCATTCATTCATTCAAAACGGTTTTTCAAAACGGTTTTGAAAGTCTATATATATATATATATATATATATATATATATATATATATATATATATATATATAAGAAAAGTCATTAGCATTCCAAGATTTCTTCAGGCAAATGAAATCCTTGTTTGTGTTGTTCATGTTGTTATCACAATGTTTCAGCCAATTCATTCTACAGCCTTCATCAGATGCACAGAGATGTCTTCTGTAATTCTAAGGAGAGTCATTAACATTCCAAGATTTCTTCAGACAAATAAACTCCTTCCTGCTGTTGCTACCATAATATTTCAGCCAATTCATTCTACAGACTTCATCAGGTGCACAAAGATGCCTTCTGTAATTCTGAGAAGTGTTATTAACATTCTGTGATTTGTTCTGACAAATGAATTCCTTGTTTGTGTTGTCGATATTGTTACAGAATGTTTTAGCCAATCGATTCTACTGCCTTCTCCAAGTATACAAATCCAGAACTGAAACAGATCATCTTAGTAAGGCAGATCATATTGGAAAAGAAAAACAATTCAGAATATGCTAGTTTTGTTTTTATATGTTTTTATATTTTGAAAACTTTTTTTTGCAGAAGCTGATGCCCGAGGAAAAGGTTTTGGAAAAGAATCAGTTCTTATGATGTTGAGATTTGGTAAATAAAAAAATATTTTAATTCAAATTTTCTCCTCATTAAAATGAATCCATATAAAAAAACTTTGAAAATATGCTTAACGATATTTAATATAATTGAAATTAAAACAGGCAGAGTGTTTAAAATAATGCTTAGATGAATTCTGACCACTTATAATTTTGTACATTAAGATGGAAAGGAATATATGATGGAAATGAAAGTCCCAATCTGTTTACTCTCTTCCTAGAACAGTTTTTCTCAACCATTTTTTTTTATTTCAGGGCACCCTTGTAGAATAGGTAAAACTATGGGGTACACTTTAAATTTTAATAAGGAAAAAAATTATTCATGAAATTTGAAAATATTAAATTTTGGTCTATCATTCCCCAAAGAAGTTTAGCGATAAAATTTCATTTAAAGGGATTTATGAAGAATTTGCTATATTTTTTGAGAGATGCCAATAATGACTGATTTAAATCCCTTGAAGAAGGCAAACGGAAAAGGATTATCCAGATTAAGGAATTTAGCATCCAGCTTAAAATATCAAATGATAATGCCTCGACTTAGACATGGAAGACATGCTTTTTTAAAAAATGAAGATTTTTTAAATATAAAAATAATTTGTAAATTACTTTTCTGTTAAATTGAGCACCCCTGGCTACCTTTCAGTGCACATTAGCACCCTCTGGTACATCGGTTGAGAAATCCAGTCATAGACTAAGCTTTTTTCATACCATTATAGATTAATCACTTTAGATCATGAATATCAAAAAGTACATAGAAAGTACATTTGAGTTTATAGAAATACTTGTAAATAAGTTGTTGTTTGAACTCATCATAAAATCAAGAAACTCAGAAGTAAATATCTTCTTCAAAATCATGGCTCTCCAAACTTCCTATCCTTCATAACTCTTAGCAGTGTGTGGAGGAATTGGCCATGGTCAAGTGTAATTGGCAAAAACACTCAACAAACGGAATAGACAAAGTTACCAATAAGCCACAAAAAAAAAAAAAGGAAGAAAAAACAACAGAGTGAAATAATATGAAGCAAACAATGTATATGCAAGTCAAAACTAGGCAAGGCAACAGAAATAAGGTAAAAAGTTCACAAAGTAAGAATGGTATTCAAATGCTAAAGGGATACAGTCAAGTGATTGTAGCATTCTGACTTCAAGTGATGATTCAGCAATACCTTCTGAAACTGGATTAAAAATAAATAGCTTCACTATCCTTTACTGGGCATGCGCTTCAAGAGGACTAGAACAGTGACTTGAATTAAACAGTTGACTATATGGAACTAATAAACACATACGGAGCTGATAATTACAGTGACAGAGACTAAATTCAAAGAAAGCAGTGCCTTTTCTATAAATATTTTCATGGTAATTGTTCTGATGAGCTTTCATCTTTTGTACTAAGACTTTATGAATTTAATGACATGAACTAGATTAGCAGCACTGTCGAGTAATTTGCCATGGTTAAATGTCAATGGCAAAATGCTCAACAAACCGAATTGACAAAGCTCTCACTAAACAATAAAATTGGAAGAAAATAAACAGCGCAAAATAATACTAAACAATGTATATGCAAGTCAAAACTAGGCATCTGTTCTTCACAACAATTTTGTCTTTGAAAATGACGAACATTACAATATTTGTCTCGAAATAAACAACATCCTGATGATGATATTGTGCTATGTCGAAAGTACTCGGAATAAAATATTTTGTATCAACACGGCGATTTTCTCTCTTCCTTTAATAATGACACCAAAAAGCTTGTCCGTGAATATGAATGGATCCAACTGGAAATAAGTAGACAAAACCTGTCTAAATTATTCAGTGAAACATGTCTCAATGAAAACATGCTGCTAAAATATACGCAATATATATATATATATATATATATATATATATATATATATATATATATTAAGGCATTAATAATTATAACCAAGGTTCGTTGTCAAGTTTTTGAATTTTCTTGTATTTTGATTGGTCATTGTAGCTTATGTAACAGCGTCCCCCTATCAAGAGCTGATTGGTTGATTTGAACCTTTTAAAACTCTTTATTCTACATTCAACACAATCACTTGAGAAGACACCAGAAATGTTGAAACAAAATGGCTATTTTTGTAGTGATTTTATAACATGTTTATGTTATAATTTTCGAATAAATTAAATTATATATATATATATATATATGTGTGTGTGTGTGTGTGTGTGTGTGTGTGTGTGTGTGTGTGTGTGTGTGTGTGTGTGTGTGTGGTTATTTTTTTTCATAAAGCGATTAATTACTCATTTCAGGGATCCATCCACTTGTCGAAACAGACGACCATAACTGGTAATATCAGCCTTCCTATTCTTTCAAAGTAGCCCAAACTAGCATCTAACACGAGGCGCTGACGACTGTCTATCAGTTCTGATTCAAGTGCGTTAATCCTGTCAATATATTCACCAAAGGTAGACGAGGGACTTATATGAATGGCATAGCAGTCAGTGTTAACTAATTTCCGTTGAAGCCATCTCCATTTAATTACCGGGGAAATGCAAATATTTATGCAATTGATGAAACAGCCAGTCGTAGTGAATCATGTCGCAACAAAGTCTGCGATGTCCTTGATCCTTAGGGGAAGCGTACCAAAAATGTCCATGACTAAAAGAATAAAAAAAAATCTTGAATTGAAACACCCAATGCGCAGGGATTATGTCGAGAAAGTCTAACTGATTTTATCACTATTTTTGTTTCACTTTCATAATATTAGCATCATTACTCTTTTCTTTTCAGCTGAGTACCTTTATATAGGTACCTCTTTTCAGCTGAGTACATTTATATAGATAGAGGTACCTATATAAAGGTACTCAGCTGAATACATTTATATAAGTACCTCCATTGAATTTTCGATACCTAAGGTTTAAAATGAATTTTTAAAAATGAAAAAGCATTCTTGAAGAAATGAGAAATATCTAATGGTTATTATTATATTATCTTATACACTTTTATGAATTTTTTGTGCTCCATAGCCTTGGTTGGTAACCAGTCTATGTGAAGGTAAACTTAAAACCAGTTGGGTGCAGGGATAGCAAATCTGTTATTAATTATAGAAATTAGAATAAAAATCTGATATTCTAATTTATTATTAATTAAATTAAAAATCTGGTATCAATTATAGAAATAAAATTCAGATAATTATAGTAATTAGAATAAAAATCTGGTATTAATTATAGAAATTAGAGCAAAAATCAGATATTGTAGAAATTAAATTAAAAATCGGGTATTAATTATAGGAATAAAAAATAAAAATCTGGTATTAATTATAGAAATAAAATTCAGATAATTATAGTAATTAGAATAAAAATCTGGTATTAATTATAGAAATTAGAGTAAAAATCAGATATTGTAGAAATGAAATTAAAAATCGGGTATTAATTATAGGAATAAAAAATAAAAATCGGGTATTAATTATAGAAATTAGAATAAAAATCAGATAATTATAGAAATTAAAATAAAAATGTGATATTATCTTATAGACTC